TCGCCTGGGATCGGCGAGGTCTGGAGTTCCTGTCCAAAGTCGCTCTCTGCACACCGACCTCGAAACCCACAAAGTAGCGGGGCACTTGGGTGAAACCGGGACCGAGTCCTGCCGGGAACCCCGGGACGGGGCGGAAGCGAACCCCGGGCAAGGCGCGGCCGGAGCCCCCTTGGCCTCGCTTCTTCCGCGTGGCAGGCGGGCTCCTATGTCAGTCGCCGAGCCCTGCCCGGAAAGTCCGGTGCGCCCGGCCCTTCCGAGTCAGAATCGGGCTGTACTCAGCTCCAGGTGAGTGGGATGCCAGTTACCTCGCGTCCAGGCGACGCCAGGAAGGCCACAGACCCTCGCCCCTCCTTTCGGGGGGAGGGGGCGCCCCTTCCACGCCCCTCGAAGTCTGCGCCTCGCGGGAAGCACATGTGCTCGAGACGTCGCAGGGCTCCAGGCCGGCGGGCCCCGGGTCTCCCCTCCTTGCCTAAGTTGGTCCCCTCTGGAAGCGGCCAAACCTGCCACCCCCTGCGTGCGGAAGAGTGGCCCGTGCTTCGGGGGACAGCCGGGGACCCTGCCCTGGTTTGAAGAGGGGCGGAGGAAAACCCAGGTGGGCTGCAGACACAGTGGCAGGGCAGGGCAGAGCTGTCTCTCTCGGGGACCCCAACTCCTGAGGAACAGGAGGGAGACGGCCCCCACGACGTGGAGGGCAGGAGCCGGCTCCGGTTCGTATGTGCCCCTGGCTCGCTCGTTCACAAAGGAGCCCCTTCCTTCCCTGTCCGCACCCCGGTACCCTACATTCAGCCTCTGGCCTTCGGCTGTGCTAATGCACGCGTGTATTTTCATACCCAGCACCCAGATTTCGCTGGGAGTCGTTAGAGCAGGGGTAGTGAGGAGAAAATAGATTGAGAAAAAGAGTTGGCTCCGCTTCCCAAGGGAGGACTGGAGGGAAAGTGAAAGCCGAGGGTACAGAAACTGGGGAACGATTTAACTTTTCATTTCTCTCAGAAGCTTCTTCGCACCAAAACCTATTTCAGTTACTGCTGCAACAGGAAGTCGGGATTCCCTGCCAGACCGAAAGTCTCAGCGGGTGGATGCCCCTTGCCCTCACAGCTCGCTGGCTCGCTGGCTCGCTGGGGTTGGTGGTTCCCGACCTCCCACAGCATCACCTGGGCTGCGCGGGTTCCCACCGGTTCTCCTGGAAGGCCCAGCCCGGGCGACCCACCGGGATCCAGCACCCGGTGCCACGGTCCTCTCTGCGGGCTGAGGAGAAAGGGCGCCTTTGGGAAAGGTGCAGTTCCCGGGCTGTGGAGGGGGCAGAAAGGCCCACTGTCCTTGCCTAAAAGTCCATCTGTCTGTCTGCTGATCAGGCTTCAGATGTATTTCTCATTTGGAGACCTTTTTTTTTAAGGCAGCCCTGTGTGTTTGCGGGTCTTTATGTGCTTTCATTTGCTTTTCTTTGTAGGGTTTTCCTTTTGTCTTTCCTTTCTTCCCTGGCAGTTTTGGCAACCCTGGGGGAGGAGGCTTAGTGGAGAGAGTGAAACTGACCAGTTTATTCTTGTTAATCAGGCACAAGAACACCACAAACACTGACTCTCCATTCTTCATAGGATCCTTTTATAAAATAGAACAATCTTTTAGATAGGGACCAGGAAACTGATAATCCTGGTGAACCAGCTAATCCTGTCCCTTTAAGGAATATCCATAAAGGTTTTCCATCAGCCCAGTGCCTGGGAAAGAAGCAAACTAACTGCTTGGAACAAAAGAGACAAAGAGGCCAAACAACAAAACAAACAAACAACCCCCTCCTCCCCTCAGAGACAACAATAGCCCAGACCCAGCGAGTGCAGAACTGCCCAGCCGGCTGCCTGTGGATCTGCCAAGTCTCCGCATTTGACTGAAGACTTTCTCCCCCACCCCAGCTCTGTCTCTCTGTGTGACTCTGTGCATCTCTTGGGGTCTGGCTGTGTGTGTGTGTGTGTGTGTGTGTGTGTGTGTCCTGTTTTTGCTTTCCCTTGATGTTGCTATCCCCGCCCCTCTCCCCCCTCCTCTCTCCTCACCATGTAGTACACTCTGGCATTTATTTAACTATCAATTGCCTATTTGTTTATTTGCTGGGCTATTTCTGTGCCATCTAGTAACTGCCTGCTCGTAGCTTGCATTTCTCTGAGTGGTCACTGTGGCCTGTTTTGCCTGTTGTTTGCAGCAGTCTTTACGAAGAGGACCCTAAAATCCCCTTGCACTTCAGCCCCACCCACTGCAGCTCTTTGCTCCTTTTCTGTAGCGCTCGGGTACCCCCTCCCCAAGTCCCCAAGCAGCCCTTTCTTCGCTTCTTGGCACTGCCTGGGACTCTCATGCATGCCTGCTTCTCTTTCTCTTCCTCTTCTCTCTCTGCACCGCCAGACCCCTCCCCCTGGCCTGTAAATCCAGCCTTTTTCTTTCTCTTTTTCCTTCTTCCTCACCAAACCTTAATAAAACACTGTAAACATATCTGTTTGCAGGTTGCTTGTCTTTATAGAGTGTCTCTAAAGCCTTGGAAATTGAGGAGTGGAGAAAAGAAAGAATTCATACTTTAAGACTGGCATGGAGCTGGCATCCCTGCCAACAGCTCCGTCCCTTTAACACTTTTTTTCCAATAAGCCCTTTTGTGACAGCGTCTGCTCTAGGGAAAGCTTAGCTGTATCCCTCCTGCACTGTGTCGGGGTGACAGAGCTGAGCCTAGGCTCCCCACACCCATCCCCTGCCCCTGCCAGACAGAGGAGGTAGGGTAGAGTGTAGGCCTTCACATGGAAGGTGTTTCTCTCAAGGCCAGAAAACAGTATGTTCTAGAGGACTCTAGCCTTGCAGTAGAGGGGAAATTTTGACTTGGAATTGTGGGAAAAGCAATCCTATGCTGTTCATTAGGACGGATCTTAGAATTCCCAGAGTGAGGCAGTCCAGGGCTGTCCATAGGATGACGCCAGGCACGCACCCAAGCTATCCCAGTGGGCAGCACAACCAGGGCAAGGGATCCCCGCTCCGTTCCTTCTTTTCCTCTTATGTAGCATACAGGCCCATAGTGGCAGCCCTAAAGGGAGTAGGGCCATCTAGCCCAAGAAGGGTACAAAAGCAGAAGTAGGACATTTCCCCTGGTTGTTCGGTTGCTTGGAGATATGGGCAATGCTCAGAAACACTGCTGTCAGGAAGTACATGGAGGGAGCTGGACACGCCGGGCGTGGCACAGCACATTTTCCACGAGGAGGCCCTGGGTTCATCCCCGGCACCACTAAAGGTTTTGTTTAAAGCGCACATGTGCACATATCCTTGCTTGTATGTGTGTGGCTTTAGTTGGTGATGACAACTGGGTAGAAGAGGGAGAAGTTTGAAGTGGACACGTGGCTCTGCCACTGTGGGCAGGCCCAACCTTGCCTCACAGTGGTGTTCCAGATTCAGTGGCCTCTGTGTACGTGGAACAGCCAAGAGCCAAGTCTGACGTGGGCCTGTGTCCCATAGATGGGTCCGCGCCCCTTTCCCTCCTTCCCTTCCTTTCCTGCTTCCTTTTCCCCTCTCTCCTTCCTCACTGCACTGGCTTTCTCTTCGAGCTTTCCGAAAGCACCTGCACAAGACAAGTCTTCCAAATTGGCCTAATTTCAGGTCCTGAGGGGACCTCGCTGCTGCCTGACCCGGGCCTGGTGACACCTCGAGCTGGGCGTGACTGCCATCGTTTGTCCTTCCTGGGCTTAGTGGCCGCTACTCTTCCACCGCCTCCGATAGGCTCTTTCTTTTCAAAGTCAAGAGGAAGAAGACCTCACCTAGCATCCAACCCCTCTCCAGTATCCAGCCACGTGAATGCTTTCCCATCCCCGTGTCTTTCCTGCGGGACATTGGACTCTCCTGTGGCCAAAAAGCCCAAGGAAGGAGAAGCAGAACAGAATACGCTTCAGTGAACTCTGGTGCTGACCCACAACTTCCCGAGTGGGAACGCTGTTTTCTTGGTATTTTGACCTTGTCAGAATGACTGATTTTCTTTTCTTTTCTTTCTTTCCTTTTTTTTTTTTTTTCTTTTTCTCCTCCAAAGGAGTCCCTCGCTAGCTAAGCTGCGTTCCTCTAGCAGTGATTCGGAGGACAAACCTGTGTGTCTGGAAGCACTCACTGGTTGGAGGTGCTTGGCCTGCCCTCACTGGTGCTGGGATGCCTCCTCTTGCTCTGTCTTCCCCAGAGGCTGAACACGCCTGTGAGCCGAGGTGGGGGCCCGCAGTTGCATGTTAGGAGAATGAACACGTAAAAGTATCTCTGGCTTCCTTTTTCCCAGCTTTTACTGTCCGCCCTGCAGTGTAGCCCATGTCCACACTTCCCTGGCTTCCTGTGCTATTTTCCTGTTTTATCATGGCCTTAACAGCCATGGCATCGAAGCACATGTTAGAAGGGGGAAACCCCTCGGGTCCCTTCCCAGCACCTCTGATCATCTTGCTCTTCTCTCTGCTTCTCTGTTTTCATCAAATCCCTCTGCTACTTAGGACGTGGATATAGCAATGTGTTTCATCTTTTTCCCTTTTTGGGCATTCCTACGTCCGCATGCCTCCTTTCTGTGAATTGCGGATGCAGCTGTCTGTCCTTCTTGGGAGCCCTTCTCAGTACAACTTTCAGCCACACATGCACCAGCTGCCCTTGGGCAGTGAACAACCTGCACAACTGAACATGGGCACTCTAACTCCCATTCTGAAGACAGGGGTGCTAGTAAGCACTTGGTCATTTAGCAGTGTCCCTGAAATGGAAATGCCCATAAACTGGGATTTAGAAGAGTAGCAGCTTTTGTAGCCTTCCAAAGCTTTATCCTTTTGGGGATCTTGTCCAGGAGGAAGCCTGAGGTTATGTTTTATTATTTTGTCTTTGACCTACAGTCTGCATCTGTTAAGGTTTTGTTGCCACACCAATGGAAGGAAGGCACTTGTCACTGCAAAGGGTACAGTGGGCATTATTGTTTTAGTAAGAACCCCTATCTCTTTGTCTCTCTGTTCTTTGCTTGACTTTGTGTCTAGTTGGCCACTTTTTGTACTAAGCCAGCCGCTCACTTTTGGCCCAGCTGACAAGTGGCGCTATTCTAAAGTTGGTACTGCTGCCTGCAGATCTCTGGTTTACCAGAACATGCGCAGTGTAGACCCCACTGCCAGACCAGCATGTCCAGAGCCATGTCACTCTGAGCCGGTAATGCAGTCACCGTCTACAGTGTCCTGCCCAAGAGACAGTTGCTTGTAACTGCTAAGTTACAACAGTTTTGTGCTGATCTTTCCCACACAACAAGGAGCCTCTCCATGCAGGAGTCCTCGGAGGAAATAACTCTGTCCTCTGCGGTGGTTCTCAAGCCCATCTGTATGTTAGAATTACCTGGGGGGTTTGAAAGTATTACCAGTGCCTGGGCCTCACTCAGCCTAATTAAATCTGAATCTCTAGGGCTGGTGGTGTGAGCACTGGTATTCTTAAGGCTCCCGTAAGTGGTGCTAATGTTTAGCTAGGGTTGGAGATACGTACTGATTTATAGGTCATGAAAGCAGGCATCGTAGTGCATCATGCTTACTCCCTTACTCAGTGTGTAGCAAATTCTTCCAGTGGGTGGGGCATGGTTCACTGAAGACAAAAAGATGAAATTGGTGGGCACTGGGCCCAGTGAGTTTAGGAGTTAGTAGGCAAGTGCTAAGGATGCCAGGATAGAGTCTCTCTGAAGCAAGATCCCCTTTACTTCTGAATTCTCATGAAGAGCTGAGGATTGAAAGTTCAGAGTTCCGAGTTCTGGTTGAGATCCTACCACTATCCAGGGAGGTGGCCTTGGACAGATCCTTTGACGTCTTTGGGCCAGTTCAATCACCCAG